CGAATTCTTCAGAAGGAGAGAGCAAGCTGCGTTTCTGTCATCTTGCAGGAACGTGTGAAATTTTTCATACCGAAGAGAGTCCGGCTAGAGCGTAGAAAAATACGCCGAATATCGATCTTTGTTTCATTGATTTTTTTTAAATCAATTAAACTTCTGTTAGTTGCGCTACCGATTAAATTTGCAGTCAATTTTTTGCAGGAAATTAAATTTTTAGAGATTTAATTTACTATTAATTTCCATTTGTATAATAACTAGTAAACAATGTGCTCTGCATAATACCTATAGTTTTAAAATATTTATGTAATTTTTAAAAAGTTAGCCGCTTTGTGTGCTCGGATTTCCCAAAAATACGACAAAGTGCACGACAAATGTTATTAACGGAAAAAATAAAGTTCTATTGGAATAGCGGCAGTTTCATAATGCAGATTTTATTTATCCGAGGTATTTTGCACGAAGTACACGTTGCATTCAGCTGTGTCAATAGCGAATTGATACATTGTCGACCGATTGAATGCGAATGCCTGAATGGATGCACAAGTAGCCCTCGATAACATATACTTCAATGACGGCTTTTCACTTTGTAATAGGATCGCAATATAAAAGGAAAAAAATTATATTGTCAACGACAAAAATAGGGGTCAATAGTATAATCATTAAATTCAAATCAACGCGTCAACCATCTTCATATACTTTTCATCGTTTCGAGCCTCGCTGTATTGAACCTCTCCTCTGAGGAGTACCATGCAAGTATAATTTAAACCATCATGCAATCACAATTTAAACAAACCGGCTACATTTTTACTTTCTAGCATTTCAATTTTTGAGATAGATATTTTGGACGGGATATATTCCAGATATTGAGACGTTTGTTTTACGAAATTGGCTAAACAAGTATCCATTTAAGTAGCTCGTGCCGATCTTTGATCGTAGATGAAATGAAGAGCAACCTGTCGATCACCCGAGAAATCTATCTTCTTTTACAACATTATTATCGCCTATATAATTTCCTTATCTCGCAGAATCTACATGAACCTCTCTCTACGGTAGTCACGTTCTACGCGCGCAAGTTATTGCCGCCTAAGTGGAAGGAATTCGATCAGGCTAAATGCGATTACGCATTTACGTTACGGGGCCACATCCTCGTATATAATTATTGCGCCGACGAGCACGGTTTTCTGTATGCGCTTAATAGAATTCGGCAATAAATCGCGCGCGCGCGATTCTGACATTAAATTAACTCGTGGATGTGGAGAGAGATTGGCGCGAGAGCCCGAGTGCTATAAAACAAGAGCGAACGCGGATCGTCCGAAATCAGCAGATTGCATCGTTTATCACCCCACTGTCCGAAAATCTATGTATACGATATGCGCAATTTATTCGAAACGACCATTTAACGGTATGCGCACAGCGCGTCGAGCGCTTCGATTTTAAATGCCGTCTACGGCATACTTAACCGAATGCAACCGCGCATGACGACGTAATTATTGCACGAATGCCGCCAGGCACAAAAAGGCGAATGCAAAAAATTTCAATACGGGGTTAAATAATTTAAAATATTTGCTCGGGATGCACATACGAGATACAATCATTGTGCAATACTTCAACTTTTTGTGTTTTACAGATTAATTAAAAGTCGAAAGTACCGATACGGAATTATATTTGTAGCAGACTGACGAAATTGGCTAATGATGTCGCGTATATAAATATATTTTTTAAATATAAATTGTTATACAAAATAATATTAATTCTTATTTGAATGATTCCAATATTAATCAATGTCAATAGAGAGGCTTTAATTTTTATAATATTTAACTATGGAAAAAGCTACAGACTTTAAAATTTTTATCAAAAAACGTTTCAGAAAAAAGAAATGAGGGAAAAATAAAGTAACATACCTAAATATTAACAAGTTTTTTCTATTAATTAGTAATATAGACAATAATTTATTTTTATTTTACATAAATTCAATATATAAATCTTCATCCATGATGTTCATTATTCATGAGACAGAACATCATAAAGGAACTTGAATAAAAGCTTTATATTCTAAAAGATATATTTTATTTATTATAATTTTATTTTATTTTTTTATTTACTTTCACTATTTTTTAAGCAATTCAAAAACTTAATCAACTGTGTATTTATTAAAATATATTACCCAAATATAATTTAATTGTTTAATGAATTAATGTAACATATTATTTCTTAACAAGTATATCTAATTATAAAATTTTGGACGATTTATATATCTTGCAATTATTGCGTTGCATAAAAAAATACGATGAAATATGTACATTCCAAAGTTAAATATTTATGTTAACCTGAGTCTCTCCAATTTAAAAAAAGAGCAATGGATCTATATTACATTTATATTTTCATAATTTTAATTACAATTTTTTAAAAATATGTTTAAACAGTAAACAGTTTCAAACAATAAATATTACAGAATTATATTTGCATATTATATTTTACTGCTACGTCTATTGCAAAAATTTAGATTTTATATACTAATAATTATCAGGAGAAAAGGTTTTTAATTTTTCCATTATTTTCTGATTTTTCTCGTTTTATGTGTATTGCGTGTATTTCACATTATTTTTACAAATCCATTACACCTCAACGAAGATAAAGAATAATTTAGCACTCATCGGAATGGTGTATGAGCAGGAAAAGCGAATTGCAGCATGAAAAATCGTCGGCTCGTAGAAACTCTCGATTTGTAAAATACAAATATATCTAAATTATAGCAACGCTCGAAATAATTTGTATTTCAAAATATGATAATTATACGCGAATTGTTATTCTTTAAACAGATATTTAAAAAGAGAATTCTATAAATTATGTAATATACTTTTCGTACGAAATATACGTATACATTTATAAAATTCGATATGAATATATCTAATGAACTGTCTATATTTCGTGTATGTAGTAAAGCATAAATTGATAATAAATAATATCTCTTCGGTGTAAGCTGCTTCTTCCTAATACTCGGAAGATATTCACTCGCGAGAACACAGGTAATTATCGCGCGCGCGCGCTAATCACCAGGATACACGACGACGGCACTTTACCTGGCATTCTCCCGGAGTTAATCGCACATGATGTTAATGCACTTTACCATACGTTGAGACGGAAGAACAACGCAATCATAGAAGAAGATGCAATTCACTTAACTTCTTGCGACGTCCCGTGAATTAGCGGAGCGAGGCAATTCGGAGCGAAAGAGAACTTTGGTCAAATCGTCGAATTTACGTCGATAGCACACGATTAGCTGTCACACTCGCGAGTAGTTAATCACAGAAATCAATAGCACTGATGTAACTGCTAAGACGTTCGCTTTCCTGCGTCGCGCCGAAGGGTAAACGCGACGTCACAGGTACAACAGTCGCCCGCCGACCTCGAGGCTCGTCGTAGGTCACCGTGTGTGTACAACAATACGTGCCGCGCGACGCGCGTTACTACGTTAGATTACTACGCTTCGACGAAAATTATTGCATTAACATATTACAGAGTGAATACCGAAATATTTCATTTCTCCGTGTACTTCGAACTATAATGAACGATCGACGCGGGCACCGCGCGACGTTCCGTCGTTCGAAACGCTCGATTCGTAGATCACTCCCACCACTATCTCGCGGTTTTGATACGAGGGCGCAAGTTGAGCATCTAAATATCCGAAAATTTAAAGCACGACACGGAATATACAATGCCAAGTCGACGCCAAGTATACTCCCCGTAAGTAACGCGAGCAGACATTGAATAACCGTTGCCCGTAAGTGAACACGCAGTGAAAAGATTTCTGTTTTCGGTCGCTCCGAATTGTACTTCGAACGAATACATTGCGCAAGATGTGATTCGTGCTCGTTAACATGATATGTATATATCTCATCATCGATACGCTCACGAGAATTGCATGAGAGACATAAATTGATCGTTATTTAATCGTCGAAAAAAAAATGATCGTGTCGACGCACCGGCGACGACGTACGACGGGGTCGTGGCAATGCAAACAATCGTGAATAAACGGAGCATTCAGTACTCCCCATCGCGAAACTTTTAAGTTATTAAAGAATAAATGTACGTTCTCGAATATTCCGTTCCTTTCGAAATAAACGGACCCATTATTTCGCGTTGTGATTTCGCGTTTATTGAAGAGTAGCGTTTATACGTTACTTTGAACGAGAGAGAAGGGATATTTTTACAGAAATTATACTTGGACTGCAAAAAGTCGGTAATGGATAACGGATCGGTATTTGAGCGGTATTTACGGACCGTGCAAATTTTATGCGTAGCATTGGCCAACTTCGATCGCTTGCAACTCGAGAACAAGTGGCAACTTCATTTTTAGTATTAGAATAATTTCAATTCTAACTCATCTTCAGGAGTACGCTATTAAATTATTGCACAGTGGGACATTGTGTGTATAAATATGAAATGTCGATAGTACAGTTTTCGAAGGAGTGAAAATAAATTCTCCTGCGCGAAGCAAAATTCGAGACCATAGATAAGAGGATCTTATTCCTTAATTAACTTCCGGTGAGCTTAAATAGGATCTTAATTTATTAAGATTCAGTTACTAATATCGAATATTGAAAGATTATAAGAAACGATGGGGATGTACGTTTTCATTAAGAGTAAATCGATTGCAAATTAAGATATTAGCATGTGCAATACCTGCGATCGCTAGCTCTCGAGCAAGCTGCTATATTTTTTCAAATCAATAAAGTACATATAATAAAATATAAAATAGAGTGATGCGTGAATCCTATTTAAGGCAGAGGAAATTGCCTCTTTATGAATTAAAATGTTTTCTGAGTGAAAAATTTAGTACATTGTAAATAATAAAATACTGATACTATCAAATACTTTGTGAAATATATATATTACATTTTTATTGCGCTAATAGATTTTACGCTTTAAAGATGTTTCTCCGCGTGACAAATCATGTAAAAATCTAGTTTAAAAAAAATTTAAAAATACATTTTTTCTTTTTCCAGCCCCTCCGCAGAAGGTGTCGATCAGCAATCACCCGAAGAAGCAGATAATCGAGGTGAAGGTGGGCGAGTCGCGGCGCTTGGAGTGCGTCGTTAGTGCGGCGAAGCCGGCCGCCTCGATCATTTGGTACCGCGGAAACGTGCAGATCAAGGGCGGCGACACCACTATCACCCCGATCTCCATCCAGGGTGGTAAGTAGCTATGCTATTCCGTTACGCACGTTGATATTCGATTACGATAATCCCGCGCGCGAATGAATATATCACGGTTATTACACGCGACGAGGATTAAATGACCGTCGCATGCACAGATAAACGCATTTCTGGATCCTAATAACGCGGTATCATCTAATTAAATTTCGCGATCGGACATAAATAATTCTTCCATTTACGCGCACGAACGAGTTTTTTTTTTAATTTGCCGTTGTCCTGCCATATTGACGTTTGATGTTATATTTAAGATAACTGCCATAACGATGCTGTATATTTATATTCGTTTCTTTTATGTTAAATTTTTATTCGCGGAAATATCAGGAAGATTAATTAATTTAAGACTGATTAAATTCTTTTATTTTTAATAATTTTTATGGATCTACAAAATAAGTGATGTAACAGAAATTATTGACAAGTTCAACGTATATCTTTTAATGTCAGTAGATTAATAGGCTGCATTCAATAAATATGTCGCATCGATAACAGGAATATACGAATTTTTTTTACACAATTATTAAAAAAAAAAGGATTTGCTTCGTTAACTCAAAGCAATTTTATTCCAACATATGTACTTCTTTATCTGCCTTTAGTTTCGTGTCTTTGTAAGCACAAGAAAAATTACAAAGAAAACGATGTTTTCGCATGTCTTTCAACACATAGAAGCGAAATGAGTATTAAGCGCATGAATTGTGAAAAAAGATTCTTTCATACAGTTGCAAAGTTATCCAAAGACTCGGAAAAAGACATGGTAAAAGGATTTCCAAGTCTTTCAAGCGTCTAAAAATCGAACGCTTTCTAAAGGCGATGTTCTCTACGATCTTTTATATTGTCCAAGTTAATCAAATCCGTCGTAATTATGTACAAGCTAAACGAAATACCGTGAATATATACAGCACTGAGATGGGATCCGGACTAAGCAAGCGAGTAGCGCGAGCGAGCGTGAATGGATGACTTAAGCGAATAGCTGGCTGTGTCAGATCGCTCTCGTTGAAGCCGGAGCTGGCTGTTCATTCGTGCTCGTTCGCGCGCGTTTCGCCCGGTCTTAGATCGTGCGGCTTTAGTACCGGCGCGGCGCGCGATATTCAGAGGCGAATAAGTAATCTTCGCCTTTCGTCGATGGGAGCTTCGTGCTCGGGGTGCGCTCCACCGCGCGACGCGCGCTCGGTGGAAGTGGGAAAAAGATTGGGACGGCGTCGAGACGCCTCTCCCTCTTAGCGCCGCTTCCAGTTGCCAAGAGCATCTTCGATCGATCCCCGTGACACACAACTCTGGCCGCGCTCCAACTACCGAAATTGACATTCCTGTCTTCTCGCTCGCGCTCGGGCTCGCGTTCGCTATAAGCTGCCGCCGCTTGCGTTTTTACATTCGCGGCCGGAGACAGCCCGACGAGACATCAAACGATTGCATCGGCCGGAGCGCCGTTTTACCACCATCCGGCGCGGCGCGCAAGGCTAAAATATATCCCGATAAGAACATCGATAAATAGTGCGGACGGAGATGAAAAGGGACGCGGCGCGACGCGACGCGATACGATGTGCGCCAGTGGGCGTTCGTGAAATGAATACGACAAAATTTTTGCAAATGCGAGTTCGTAGTCGTCGAAAGTAGATAAGAAAAGTTTTCTGCGAAACGTGATGCATAAAGACGCCTCATTAACTATTTCGATGAGCAGGAATGAACGAATGAATATCCAATGAATGCAGAAACTGCTATTTCTTGTCGGTGATGAAATATTAATCAGTATCTAATAGAAGGGAGGAAAGATAAAAAGAGAGAGAAAGAGGTAAGAGAGAAGGGGATGACTTAATTTTACAAAATGTAGAATCGTCATACAGCGCCGAATGGTTTTAATTTAAAAAGGAAAAATGAAAAACTTCAACACGAGAGCGTTGTGTAAAAATATTAGAACATCACCGCCGGCGTTTTGCGTTGGCGTTTCGCTCAAGTTGCCGTTTTGATCGTTTAATTAAACGTGTGATTGGTCCGATACATTATAGAAATTTAGCTGTATGCGTTTCGCGAACGCCGCGAATATATCCGACTCGTTACGTACATATAATAAAATGCATGTAGAAGGAAAAGCGCGCGCACTTCTACGAACATCGGCGATTATCGCGTAACGCGAATTTATTATCGGGGAACACGTAAGCAGACTTATGATGAATTTATAGGTATTTAAAACAAATTTGCTCTTTACATTTAACGGATTATTCGATGCAAGGTAAAATGAGTATTTCGAATATTATTTTACATTACGTACTTTAATATTATCCCTTTCGGTTGTAACATGAACATCAATTCCGTCGCAATTCGTATAATACATTTTAAAAACGGGAAATAATAACGTTTAAATTCTGCAACGCACCGTAATATAAAAATCGCATTATTCGTGAACTTATCCTTGTGGTTATCATTAGGCCGCTTTAACGTTAAGTGCGTTAACGTATATCTTCTCCGCAGCTGTGTGAAGTTGCTCCCCCCTCCTCCTCCATTGAAAATTCAAAGACGACCATTACCACTCGATTGATGGTCGTTTGGTAATATTTGGTAGTCCATTTTCGATAATTGGTAGTCAAAGTTGTAAATAATCATATAAAAAAAAGACAAGATATTTTGCGAAAGGAGGGGTTAACTTTATACGCGTATGTCTTGTTCATATTAATATTTACAACTTTGACTACCAATCATCGAGACTACCAAATACTATTAAAAAAGACCATCAATCGAGTAGTAATGGTTATTTTTAAATTTTTAGTAGTAAGGCGGAGGGGGGCAACTTTACGCAAAAAGAACGATTGCGTTGAAAGGTCTAAAAATTTTGCCGAATACAGATCTGAAAATAATTTTTGTTCAATAATCAAAATAATTTGTTGGAAAGTTAAAAATGATAGGCATTGCTATAAAACGTTTTGATATTCTAGCAATCATTTTGACTTTCCAGCAAAATTATTTTAACCATTGAATAAAAATTATTTTCTGATCCAGCAAAATTGTTCTTTCCGTGCACACATCTCTTCTCCGCAGCGCGATAACAATTGCCTCCTCCTCGTCCTCGCGGGGACAATATTGTCGAACACTTATGATATTTTATCCGACGTTAACGTTATTCAACGTTGACTATTCAAGAGATGGAGGCGAGAAATGTCTGAATTGTTTTAGCGCTATACATCTGTCGGATGCGCGCTATACCTGACAACGGCGAACAGCGTGAAACGCAAGTCTACCTGCAGAAATAAATCGCGATCGTCGTCGTTTTCCTTTGTTACGACTCGCTCGCATCTCGCTCCGTCATTCCAGCAGCAATCTTTCCCCCGACCGTTACGCATCCAGTCCCAAACCCTCCCCCGCGTCCGCGTCGCGTCGGGAGCGTTTGTATCCTCGGCGCGCATCCCCGAAAACGCGGCGTGGATTGCAGCGCGCGGAATAAAGAGTCGTGCGCGTCGCGCTTTCGCCGTAAAAGCTTGTCCGGGGCTTTTAACGGAGATTTAAAAAGAGATGCATCGCGAACATCCTTCTCGTGACGTTGCGTACACTGCTCGCGACTCTAATGTAAATTACGGTATCTTCGTGCGCGCGCCGCCTATATGAATAATTCAACTTTCTTCATGAATCGCGAATTAATTCGACAACCACCGCAAATAATTGAGCGATTAAAGTCGCTTTTGAATCTCGATCAAGAATCAATACCGCAAATTGCAATTAATTTTGCCATAAATACGAAGCTTTAAAATGCTTATACAGAAATAACGATTTTTGTTGGAAGGTCTAAAAATTTTGCTGGATACAGAAATACTGGAAATAAATTTTGTTGGAAATTAAAAAATGACGAGCATTTCTGTAAAACGTTTTGATATTCTAACACAATCAGTTTAATTTTCCAACAAAATTATTTTCAGATCTGTAGCTAGCAAAATTTTTAGATCTTCCGAGAAAATCGTTCTTTCTGTATCCGACAGATACGGCCGACGTATACTAATTATCTTAAATAAGTATTTAAAACTAATTATAAATGTTGAAAGAGATAATATATGTAATTTGAATTGAGAGCAATTTTTTGTTCTCGGAAAATTCAGAAAGCAATTAATAAAATTTCAACGTAACATCATCTACTGCACTTTCTCGAAATTGTTGGACAGTTGTAAAGAACAAACAAGAATGAGTTAAAAAAAAGTGATTAATTTCGCTGCCCTGAGACAGGGGTAAATGGCAGCTTGGAATTTATGGAAATTTGCTATTCCGCATTTCTGAAATTCTCGAGAGTAACATGAAAGGCAAACGAAAAAAAAAAAGAAGGTAATCAAAGGAAAGCGGTTAATTTTCGCGGCTATAAAGTAGAAGACGGATGGCAGGTGGTATTTATTTCGCGATTTGCGCGGACAATGTTGCAGACAAGGAGACGGCCAAGCCCGGGGAGACGAAGGAATTGCTCAAGTACGACACTCACGGTTCCATTACCATCATGCCTACGGCGGACGATAATGGGATGGATTACACCTGCGAGGCCAGCCACCTGGCGATACCAATAGACAAGCCTATGCGGGCCACCGTCACACTTTCCGTTTTCTGTAAGTATACGACCGACACGTATATGTTATTATATATACGCTTGTACACAAAAAAAAACCGTGCACTCGCGTGACCGCTTATGTCGTAATACGTGTCAGCACACTCGATATATTGGCGTGAAAAAAAGGCATTATACGGAAATGAGAGTCCGTCATCGGGAATTGCCGAAGACGTTAATTCCAAGTCCGCGGGCGCTCTTTAACTTTGCGACGCTTTACTTACGCAGGAAAACCGACGCGAGCCTCATTTGCACGCGAATAAAAACGCGAATGCTTTTTATACGTGTTTTACAACATATATAGGATAACAAGAGCCAAAACTAAGAGTAACCTTGCCAATTTAGAGATATATGGTATCGCGAGATGTGTATCGCGGTAATAGCCAAATTATTTCGCGTTTGCCAATTACTGAAATTAATGAGCAAGTCAGAATTAAATTTATTACATAATATAGTTTTCGGAGTGAATCGCGGTTCGCTTGATACGTTATATAAGAATTAGAATGCACGATGTGGATTTATTTAGGGCTCTTCTTAAATCTCGCTCTCTCTCTCTCGTCACGCACGTCATCTCTTTGAACTACTTGAGCCGAGAATGACTTTCGACCCCAATTACGTTTTCAAAATAATTAGTTTCGTTAGCCCGTTTGACGCCTCTCTGTATTAACGGCGCGACGTCCCGCGCGTCTGCCCCGCAGATCCACCTGGTCCGCCGTACATAGAGGGCTACACCGAGGGCGAGACCGTGCAGCGCGGTCAAAACGTGGAGCTCGCCTGTCGATCACGCGGCGGAAATCCGCAGGCGGAAATTGTCTGGTACAGGAACGACGAGAAGGTCACGGCGGCCCATCGCCGGGGCCAGGGCGTCAGCGAGAACGTGTATTCGTTCATAGCCCGGGCGGAGGACGACAAGGCCCGCTACAGATGCGAGGTCTCCAACATCATGAGCGTGCAGCCCATGAAAGTGCACGTCGATCTCACCGTGCTTTGTAAGTGTGTGTGTGTGTGTGTTTGTGTGCGCGCGCGTCTGCGATAATTGCGCGCGGTTAGGTAGCGGTAAAACGTTGCAAATTGCATTTCGAGAAACGCACTCTCTTGAGAAATCCACCGTCCCTTCATCCGGTTCCCCTGGCGCATTACACCCGTCCTCCCGTGTAATCGCGCGTTATTATCGTCTCTTATATTAATCGGGATCGAATAATGGACTTTAATTTTTTAGCACGTTTAACAATGCATGCATATTAATCCCTATGTAAATATTATGATCCTTTTTATATTAATACAAATCGAATATACAATTAAATGCGATAAATAAGCAAAATGCACGGCGTGAATAAATAAAGCAAAATACCTCAATTTAATTTATCCACACTTACGTTCGATAATTTTATATTTCATGTTATTTGTCTTGCTGAATTGACAGTTTTCAAGGAAAATAATTTAATTGGTACAAAACTATACTAGATTCAAAAAGTGATGTAAGAAAAAAATATGGATTTTATTGCGTAAGATGCCATCTTTTGTATTCTTGAATCATGCAGAATACGTATTTCTCGCGAGTGATACTTGAGACGTATTTAAGGTGTTAGAATATTAAACGTTGCCTGGTGCCTGTCTGTGGCACTTGCCATTACTTTACCGCAAGGCATAGTATTGCACAACTAAGGTTGCACAGCGTATGGACGAGCTCTTGCCGACGGAACAGCCGCATAAATAATTCCGCTTCTCTATTTTCGCCAAGGCTGCGTTTCACGTTTACCCAAATTGAAATTTTGCTAACTTTATGTTCACGTGATATATGTGGATAAAGTCAGAAAATACTACGTGGCTGGCTTATCGTACACTTACGATTAAGGGGTAAACGGTTGTCGACCGTACTGTTGCAGTTATTGACAGCCTGTCGGTGAACTTTATTTCATATTTTTACGGCCAACGTCAAAAATGAAAATTGACGGCGGCGAGCGACAGTTAGTTTCGCGAACGTAGCCCGGTTGGCTTTCGGACTTCCCGGAAATTTGCTTAGCGGAATATCGAGATCGCAAGAATGCAAATTTAATCATTCTATTCTTCTTAATTACTTCTTCTAGTTTCGATATTTATACCGATACGCACGTATGTTTTATCCGCTAAACGTTTATCCTGGATCTGCTGTTGTTCCAAATCAATAAAGTAGAATATAAAGTCTCTTTATATCCATCTATTCATTCTTTATCTATATACTATTTCCGCTATGGGTTTTTTTCTGAAACGCCGTTTAGATGAACTAATTCGAGGTTTTTCACGCGGTTTGACTTTACTATTCTCATACAGTCGCGCCCACCGGAGTAACCATCACCGGTCCGACCGAGGCGAAGGCGGACGACCAGGTGCTCATTACTTGCACGACGGAGAACTCGAATCCGCCCGCGGACATAAAGTGGACGGTGGACGGGCATAATTTCGAGAGCAACGCCTCGAAGACGGAGCTGGCGCCGAACGGTGGCTGGATCACCAGCTCGAACGTGACGTTCAGCATTAATCGCAAGAGCCGCAGCATCGTCGTCATCTGCCACGCTTCCAACACCCGGCTCACGGAGAACGTGGTCGGCACGCACACCATCAACGTGATATGTGAGCATTCCTCTTCTCTATCATACAATTTCGCCCAGCCACTTCGGTACAAGCGCGTCTCTCGCGCTCCCCGGCACATTGCAGTTGTAACGAGACCCCGCGCGCTTCTCGCCCGCGGCGAAAATCTAATTTCCGTCGCGCGTCAAAGAACACACTCGCGTACCGGGTGTACCGGAACTACTGCGAGATATCTTATACGGAAGGACCCTTCAATTGCCAATTGAACGATATTAAATTTATTTTTTTTAGTGACCGCGTTAGATAAATCTTCGTTAGGGTAAAATCGAGATTGGGATTGACGTGATTAAAATGAAAAACGTAATTCTCAACGGATTATTTACGCTCTTCGAGCTGCATTCGTGAATGCAATGATTAATCCTCTGGATATTCTCGTTAAAGTGAAATCCACTCACATTCAATATGTTTTTAATTAAAACATAAATAATATTAATATATATTTATCTAATATGTGATGAAACAATATTATATAAAAATCTTCATGTCTTTTTTTTTACTTCTTTAACTGGTCGGAAATGCCATCTCTGTCGCAAACAATACACAATTTCAACGCGCATAATGAGATCAGAAAAGCTAAGATAAGTTTAAAAATAATTCCCATTCCCAAAATAAAATATTATAACGCGCGGATTCTCTCCTCGGGTGTCCGCCGTCGAAATGACGGATATCGCGTTTCGATCTTCTCGAACGAATCAATTTGTATGTAGCGTGTTTAGAAAATATTGGGTATAGCGATAATGTTGTTGCCCATTCCCGCTGACATCTTCACGGCACGCGATGACAAATTAATCGACCGCGTGCCGCCGTTAACCGAGGGGGGGGGGAGGGGGAAAGGGAACCGAAAACACGCATACGCACACCATCCCGCGAATCGGACGGTCAGAATTCATTAAACATATTCGACATAACGTCATGTTGCGCGCATGATACACTCTCGCAATAATACAACCGTAATCGACCGACATTAATTTCCGCCATAAATAAATAATCCTTGTATAATCAACTGCGTTTTCAGCTTGTAATTACATGCATTAAAATTATTCGCTGTCTGAATATACTAAACAATTAGTGGCCTCCAATCAATACCGCGCTCGGCAATCCGAGACTATAACGAATGCCACTCGTGTCCAATAATGTAACTGGATTCAACAAATAATCCTTACAAATTATCGTAAGCCTTTTACCGCGAACATGTTCAATGAACAGTGAGATGATGTCGACAAAGGGGGCGCGGACGAGCGATAAACGCGCGCGAACTGCGGCGCGATAAAGATGAAATGAAGGGGACAAAAAATCGTGTTCATTTTTTTTTATTACACACTCGCTCCTGACATAAAAAAAATCTCTCTACTGCATGGACCTTTTTCTTCCAACTCACATTCGCGCTCTTACTCTCGAAATGGAAATATTTTCTTAAATCGGAAGTATATATAATAACAAATGTCGCAGAGATTCATAATACGGTCAAACGGTAATTGATCGCTTATGACCGGACCTATTCGATCTTGCAGATCCACCCTCCAGACTAAGCGTCAGCGGACACGATGAGAGTCAGTCGATAACCGCCGGTACGGTGCTGAAGCTCAGCTGCACCGCCGTAGCGGGTAATCCATTGCCCACGTTAACGTGGTACAAGAACGACCGCAAGGTACGTGAACTCGTACAAAGGACCGTCGTAAGTCTAGTAGTGGCGGATTATCACATAAACTCAAAAGACAGGAGCGCAAAATTCTTTCCTCATTTTCCTAATTAGCTTTAAAATTTTTGCTAATTAATGAAGACGTGATAATAACGGAGAAGTAATCTCTATTAATTTAATAAATTATTTAATCCCAGAATGTACTTTTCGGTTTTTCTCTTTATAAATCCGCTTAATTATAAATATTCGAAAATGTTGTGCAGAAATTACAACTCGTCGTTATTTTAAATTTGTCGCAGTGTCTTAAACAGAAAGTTCGGTCTTTGAAGTTATAATGATTATTAAAAATAATAGTATTTCTCAAATAGAAATTAAAGAATTCCGGGCAAAAATAAATCTTGAATCAAAAGTTGAATGTCCATGATTTGTAAGAGTTATTCATTTTAAATTTGATTTTTAAAATCTTACAATTTACATACGGATTTACATATTTCCTTTTTGAAGCCCTTTAATTTTTGTAAGCGTCTCGATCTTATATCAATTTAAATATTTTGAGCCACACTGCATAGATCGTTGCATTAACCATTGTCTTATGCCGCAGGTACTCGGCACAGTGAGACAGCGAAATCAAGCCATGACGAGCGAGCTAGCGATACTCGTCAACGCGTCCGACAACAATGCCCACGTGCGATGCGAGGCGACGAATTCCGCCACGGAGATCCCCCTTCTCAAAGTTCTCGTGCTAAAAGTCAATTGTAAGATATGATACTCATCCCGTATATTCATTATCAGAATTCTTTTGTGTACGTTTTTTTTTTTTTTAATCGAGGTCGCTTCACTTAGATCGAGAGCGAGACGTTAAGTTTTCTCCAGTAAGAAATGCTAGCACATAGAGATGATTGAACGACGCCGTAATTACTCCACTTTTTCTCCACGTCACGCGAATCGCGAATCTCGGCGGCAACGACGGCGCCGTATATATTTTAAACGACGAACCGTCGAGACTTCTTTTCTTTTTTTCTCACCACCTCCACAGTTCCGCCCGAGAGGGTGAAGATTAACCGCGAGCCCCAGGATTTTCACGCCGGCCAGGAGGGACGTCTAATCTGCGAGTCGAGCAGCAGCAATCCCGCCGCCGAAATGTCGTGGTGGAAGAACGGGATACCGGTGCCGGGCACCAGGAACAGCACCAAGCCCGGATTACACGGCGGCTACCTCTCGTCCGTCGAGCTCACGCTGGACTTAACCGAGGACATGAACGGCGAGGTGTACACCTGCGAGGCCAAGAACACCCAATTGGGGAGATCCAGCCACGACGCGACGACGCTGGACGTGCTGTGTGAGTGTAGAACCTTAAGTAGAGCGCTCTTAACAACATAATCTCTACACCTGCGGGAGATCAGCATGCACGCACGATCGTAATATATATGTATATACCCGTACTGCGGGTGCATTCAACCCGGAAATCTCCGCGGAGAGCGCGAACGCGCGGCAGTTATATCTCTTTCTATCTCCCTGGATATATCGGATCGCGCTCTGATATAAATTTATTTGCATTTTATTCCCGATATCTCGTACGTACAACAACAACAACGGCGTACAATAATAATGAATTGGAGTAGAAATGAGTTGTAATACGTTTGCGAAGAATGCATTATAGAGGTGAGATTGCGAAGGGGGGAAAAATTAATCTGCTATGTATTTTTATATAAGCTTGTTACAAAAGCACTTAAAAATAATCAATCATACGCGCGCGATACTAAAAAAAAATATTTTATATTAAATAGATATTCTATGATAGATATATATAAATTTAACAAGCTTTTATATCTTTTTCATATTTTTTAGAATTATAATTTCACTGCTCGAATATACGACAATACGCGGATTGTTTAAGTTTTTTTTAATTGTACGATTACATTCAGAGAATGAAAAAAAATCAAATTGTGTGATAAACGTTCAAAACGTGTATAATAAACGTGAAAAAAATGAAGCTATATTATTTTATCAGTTAGCAATTTTAAAGATTTATTTACGTCTTTCTTTTACAATATTATTATTATTAAACATATATATATCTATTTAAAGTATGTGTTAAATCTATCGAATTTAATGATAATATTTGAGTCGCTACTGCTTCTACTTAATAGTTATTGTTAACTAAACAATTGGAATTAAATAATTTAAAACAGTTTAAATTTAACCCGAATTAAATTCCATTGTTTTACTTTAAAAACAACTATATTATTTTAATTAAAAATAACTGTATATTAAGTAGGACTAGTGACGACTCAAATATATCATAGGATTAAATTTGGCACTATCGATTTAACAGTGTAATGTTATTTTTTAACATCTTGCCCGATGAAAATAAAACACGATAACGTGGACCTGTTTTTTTTTTTATTCCACAGACAAGCCAATATTCTCGCCGTTAGACCCTTACGAATTAACCGGCCTGGAAGGAGAGCCCTTTGTGATTTCCGTATCGGCGAGGGGCAATCCCAACACGACGGAATACACGTGGACGAGGGATGGTCTACCGTTGGGTGGCAGCGGTAAGAGAATAACCGCGCACGGTGCCACGCTAAATATCACGAAATTGGATCGTCATGACGGCGGCACGTACATATGCGAGGCGCTGAACAAGGAGGGGACCACCTTTTATCAGCTGAACCTGACCGTGCAGTGTAAGTAAACAATATCATCATGTTAATTTTCAAATAATCTTCATCACGATATCGATTGCGATTAATTTCACTATAAAGAAAGTATTAGCGCAGTGTTTGATATCTCAAGAAAATTGTCGATTAACTTTAAAATGTATCTACGCGATGATCGCGATTATTTGTCTCTCACAATTTTCTACATTTCTAATTTTTTACCCAACTTCTTATAATTCTTTTAATCTATAATCTTCTTTAATATCTTTGTCTCTTTCGCCTATAATGATTGTTTTAGATGTCAAGTGATCGTGAAAAGCTTCCTTTTTAATATATAAAATTGTTCTCGCTAACGTGAGAATCACGACTCACGGTTTTACCCGCGATGTCCCGCAGATCCAGCGAAAATCAAGCGTACTTCTTCGTCGGGGATAGTTTACCCGCCGGGTATCGAGGCGAAGCTGTTCTGCGAAGTCGACGGCAGCCCGATCAGCGACGAGTTTGTCACATGGCAGAAAATAGGATCGAATCCCGAGCTACCGGGACGTTACTCGACGTCATTCGTTAATCGGACGTCGTACCTACACATTGAGTATCCCAGCCAGGAAGACGTCGGCGAGTACCGATGCAAGGTCAACAACGGTATCGGCAACGTAACGTCGGATCCTATTCTATTTATTACGAATTGTACGTAAAGAATTTCATTTTAATTACTTACAATAATAATACTACCGAGTTCTAAATGGAGAGCGCGTTCTAAGCGCGATTGAGCGGGCGATAAAAATTGAATGGATTTGATTTAATAATTGTAGCAATTTAAATATCGTATCGTATGGTAATTTAATCGCTGTGTATCGTTTGAATTTAATTGCCGTACCTCATGTTGTAATGAATTTTTTAGCTGTTATTATATTATATTTAAAAAAAATTTTACACGAGCAAATGAATTTAGCATGTGAATCTGAAACAAAAAGTTGAAAGAATTCGTGTACGATTAATAGTATTGGCTACTATCTATTTCTCAATATTTATACACTAAATTGGAATAAATAATTAATAGCGAATATTCTAGCGAAAAGTGGCCAAATTATTGATGTTAATAATTAAATGTTGTTATTGCAGTATGCTTCAGTTAATATAATATCAAATGATAGTCAATGATAATCAACAATAGCCAACTAATAGAAGCGTCGCTGATTCTATAATTGCCAACAAAAATGTCGTTTAATTGTATCTTGCGAGAGATGTATACGCGCGATCTATACGTGAAACATGGCGAAATACATTCGCCCGCGCGATTCACGTATCGGAAAGCGCGATAATAAAGAATTTACTGGTACTTTTATGCACAGTTAAACCGGAAATGACGAACACCCCGCTGACGCGAAAGGCAGCGGCGAACAAAGGAATAAACGTCCAATTGTTCTGCAAAGCGCGAGGATCTCCATTGCCGCATTTCACTTGGATCTTCAATGGGAAAACTTTATTGCCGAATGCAACCGAGGATAAATATAGTATCACTCACAGCGATGTAAGTCGCTTTATAAGATGTACTTATCTCCTAAATAACGACTTCCTTTACCAGTATATCTCCTTTAGAGCTCCGCGGCATTGTATTGCGTACTGTAAATCTTGTTCTTCGTTTAACTTCGAACGAATTTCGCTTTGATAGAATTTCCATGTCGGACGTAGTTAAGAGGATATTTACCGTTGTAAATTCGAAAGTTGTAAAGAGGTCACAGCACACCCAATTAAAATTGTGTGCCGAGAGAAACGATAACTATATCATTGCGAGGACTGCAGTGTACTCGGGAACGCGCGCGCCACGTGCTCGAAATATCTTTCTGTTCTTGACGTCTCAATAGTACTTTTGTCTTCCTTACTGATAAAGTAACTTCCTCTCTACGTTCTCCAGCTGACCGAGCTCTATTCGGAGACGACGTTGACCATCTACCGCGTGAGAGGGCAGGATTACGGCAAGTACGAATGCCGCGCCCACAACAAAATGGGACAGTCCTCGGACGAAATACTTCTGGACGTCACGTCGCCGCCGGACAAGCCGAGCGACCTGGAGGTGTACAACTATACGCACGACTCGGTCACGTTGATTTGGAAGCGCGGCTTCGACGGCGGCCTGCCGACGTCCCATCAGATACGATGGCGACAGGCGCTGGATTACGAGGATCGCTATCATTACGTGGACGTCCCTCCCGGCGAGTACAAGGCCACTATATCCGGCCTGTCGCTGGGGACTTATTACGTGTTTAGCGTAAAGGCCATCAACGAGAAGGGAGACAGCGGTTTCTTGCCGGATCTCGTCAAAGTCCAGACGCTTCGTAAGTTGCAGATAAACACACCGTAGTTCGCTTACCTATTTTCGAAAACACAGCGACCTTCCAATATACATCTAGTATGACGAAAACGTAATATCGGCAGAAATCATAATCATAAAGATCTCACACTCTCTCACGGAGATGATAATTATTTTTTTTTTCTCACATGCGAGGTATATATGCATTAGAGAGTACATCGTTATTCACGCTACACGGTGGAAAATAACAGCTTGCAAAATCATTATGCAGATCATCGAGACATAATTAAACGCGATTGCCCCGCATCCACATAATTAATTGTACTCAGTAATTAGGTTGATCGTGTATTACGTTACGTACATTTAGTGTGTCTCATGAATGTTCGCATGGCATTTATATCCAGCGGGTTAGTTAGTAATAAAGTACACTGGACATTTACATTTACAAGTATCATACAGTGATTTTCAGCATGATTCATATTCCAATGGTCGTATCATATACGGTGACGCTTAGCTTTGAAATTTTTACGATTTCATTAGTACTTTTTTCAAATGCGCTTCTAACTCTTCAAGATAGAAAAATTGGCTTGAGAAGGAAGTTACGGTTGAAATTTTGAAATCTCGATATGAACTGCGCCGCGCATTGTTATTTTACTATTATTTTTTATGTTTTTTTTATTTTTTTTTATGTTATTTTTATATTGCTATTTTACACGAGAACGGGAATACAGTAGAGTTACTCGCTTGCCTTTTTTTTCAAGGGGATATAATAGTTAAGCTGAGCAAGAGTATTTAGTTGCTATTTGACTTGTCTAATTAGTGGCTGTAAATCCGCCACATAAGCGGCGTTTATAGCATTCGCAATAGCCGGAGGATTTCGAAGTTGAACGTGTGACTAACAATGTAGACCGACTCATTGCATGAATAACATAAACCGGTGATGGGGCATTGGCTTGGGTTACAGGCGAGGCGCCACCAACCGAGTTGACATCAAGCGAGAATAGTTCCTCCTACATCATCGTCATTATCATCACTGTTTCCGCCTCTGCTTGCCTACTCATTGCCGCGACCATAGTCTTTGCTACAATAAAGTCGAAAAAGAAGGTCCAGCGTGCTGGTAAATATAATATCTATCATGTGTTCTTTCTCTCCTTTATTTCCCTAGGCCCGAATAAAGAGGAAAACCTGCCGGACGTCCTCTCGGAAAAGGGCGACTTTCCGCTGAATTATATCTATACGTTAGCGGCGACTTCCGTCATCATTTTTATCGTTAATGTCTTCATCATGTTGTGGTACATAATACGAAAGCGAAATAAAGCTCGTAAGTTTGCGACCAATGATACACTTTAGCGCGATATGCGCGCTTCAATTTAGAAGATTAGCCCAACGTTCGGCTACAGCCACGGCAGAGAAGATGAGAGCCCGGTTTACCTTCCCAGTAAATTTTGAAAGATACTTTACAGTAAAATGAAAATGGCACACAGTACCGTACATTTAATCTAATCAAAATGTTCAAGGAATTTAAAGTTCAATTATGGTAATTAAATGAAGTTAATTAGTAATAGACTGATAAATACATGATTATGGACTCTGATAAAGTTCATTAAAGGTAATTAACTCATTATTATTATATAACTTCATAAGCGTTAAATTTATCGTTATGTCTTTTATAATTGTTCCTATAAATTATCGAGAAAGTTCGTGATTTGCGCACACTAAAGTAATTTAAAAAAAAAAAACACAAAATTAAATCGTTTCGATTAAATTCATCTTCTGTGCGCGGCTGTAGACTTACTACTCCCGTCTCGCTTTGCCGTTTCGCATGCTCACTATACGTTATCTTTACACAGGCATTAATAAGTCGCAGACCGCGGATATGTATGCACCGTCCACCGTCAACGGCGACACCATGACCGGCGAATTAAGTTCGATGTCGGACGAGAAGAGCGACGTCAACTTCGACGCTAATGATTACGTGGTCAGTGCCATCAGTCAGTATGTTCTTAGTAACAAGTAATTCCGGAGGGTAGGTTTGAGTTCTAGCAACACTTTTTCTGTTCCACTCCCCCCCCC